ATTGTTAATAAGAATCTCTTTGATAAGCATAGGAATTCATTCTGATTGCTTTGAATACATTAATATTTAATAAAATATATTTTAAAACTGTAATTTTATGTAATATATACTGAGAGTAATATTTTATGTTGAGTTTCATATATATCTTTATTTGGCTATTTTAATATGTATTTGGATAAAATTTTTCATATATGTTTAAGTTGTATAATGAATATACAAGCTTAACTACATATTGTAGAGCAAAGGCTACCAAATATGTTTGACTTCTGCCCTTTCAGGAAAAAAATAAATTACTCAGCAGCTTCCAGAAAATCTTCAAATCTTTAAACAAACAGAGAGCACCCACACACACACCCAAATTGTACCTCAGGGTGCTATAATAACAGCACCCCCTGGAAGCAATGTTGTTCACTTTAAGAAACACTATAAAACTAAATTGAAATCAGTATACTAACAAGTCTATAGCTTGAAAATTACTAGGCAATTATATGCATACTTAAGAAGATGTGGATAGTAGAATAGACATTTTCCTTGATCATGTGGACTTCTAAGCCAGTTAGAAGAGTGTATCAATGTAGCATACAAAGAAAAGTGAAGTAACTTTAATGTGTTCTGTGAAAAACAAGTGGAGATCTTATTGTAGAATAATTTGTCCTACTTACGGAAGCTCATGAAAAATCTTAAGTGCTCATGGGCGGGAAGAATGTTGAGATAAGATGTACAACCAAATGAAGAAAAGGTGTAGGCAGGAGGAATAGGATGTGTGGAAGGGGGGAAAGGAAAGAATTTCCAGATGGTAGAGGAAAGATACAGAATCTCCTATGATTGCTATCCAGGATGCTTGTGACATCAATGCACCAGATTTTGCCATACAAGCAGAGATTTTCTTCAGCTGTCCTAATTAGCTGTCCTGATATAGTTGGATTTTATGAGTTATTTCTCGAGGGGTCAGTGCAACATTTTTTAATATTTGAAATTCTGACAGTGCCGGATTAATTGAATATATAGTTTTAAAAGGAGTATTTTCTAGTACACAGCTATAAGAAAAGAAGATATCATGCAGTTTGCCATTATATGGATGGACTCTAAGGTTCATGATTGTAGAAGGAGTGAACAGAATCTCTCATGTGGGATATAAAGAAATGTATTAAGTGAATAACAAGTGGGCAAAGACAAAAAAAAAAACCTAAGAGTTGGCCTACAGAACTAAATTTTCTAAGGGGGAAAAGAAGGGGCAAATGAATGGGAAGGGACCTTGGGACATTGGTAGAGGGAAGTTGACATTCTAGTGTGTGTTGGTGTTGTGTGGTATTCTATGCATGAAACTATCCATTAATAGTTTTGTAAACTAAGGTGCCTTAATAAAAACAAAAAAAAGATATTTTCTTAATAGATCACAGAAGCATAACACCTTAAATCTATTTTATTCATCTTATACTGTTCTAAACTTTATACTGCTTCAATATTAAATAGCTGCACTATGGTTTTAATATTTGGTTTATAAATTAAAATCTGAATATATATTACCCAAAATTGCAGTTCATTTTATGGAAATAAATGTGTTATAATTTTTCATTTATGTTAGCATATGAGTATAAAATATCTATGAAAAATTATAGATTTAGAACTTTTAAAATTTTTCATCCAAACTTTCACAGGAGAATAAAGACTTTCACAAGAGATTAAGGTTTGCAATAGGGACTTAATTCTAGAAGTCATTCCTTTCTCTGCATTATTTATGAGTTGTATTATGAGTTTAATTGTAGTATTTCTGTTATACACCATGGAATTTGTATTTAATGAATTGAATTTACATTTAATCAGTTTGCGTTAAAGAGACTTAATGAGACGCTACACATTACTGAGGTAAGAGCAGGTCAAGGCCAACCAAAAGACACAGGGAAATACATTATTCAGTGCTCGTATTTTGGATAACTTAGAATTTTATCATGATTCATGGTTAAACAAAATTAGTTGATAATGTTTTCTATATTCATTTATAATAATTCTCCAAGGTCAGACATTTTACTATTAACGTATGGGCATACATTGTGTTTGTTTGCTTACTAACATGGGGCCTTCTTTGTATTTTTTTCCTCAAAAGGAAATATGTAGGGGAAGATTTATCAAATTATAAAAAGCAGAAAAGTGAGATTTGGCTTTGAAATACAATGTGTTCAATATTTGAATTTCTGGAATACAGTAGCACTGCAGCACTATCCTCCCGTTGTTCATCGATTTGCTTGAGCGGGCACCAGTAATGTCTCACAACAAATTGTGAGAATTGTTACCTTTTTTGGCATATCGAATATGTCACGGGTAGCTTGCCAGGCTTTGCCGTGCGGGCGAGATACTCTCGGTAGCTTGCCGGGCTCTTGAGAGTTGTGGAGGAATCAAACATGGGTGGGCCGCATGCAAGGCAAAAGCCCTACCCGGTGTGCTATCACTCCAGCCCTCATAATATATATATATGAAATAATTCTCTTCAATTTTTTTAATTAGGCTAGGTAATGGGTCATATTTCATGTTTTAATATAATTATTATGGGTATATGTTTTAGAGTAGACTTTCGATTACATTCCATTGCTTTGCTTTATTTTTGTTTTGTTTTTGTTTTTTTTCTCTTATATTTATTTATTGAATCACTGTGAGAAAAGTTACAAAGCTTTCAAGATTAAGTCTCAGTAATACAATGATCAAACACCTTTCCCTTCACCAGTACTTATTTTTCACCACCAATATATCCCCCTCCCACCCCTCCCATTGCCTGTGAGGCAGATGATTTCTTCTTAACTCTCTCTCTACTTTGATTGCATTCATTATTTTGACAAAAGATGCACCATTATTGTTTAGAATTTTATTGCTTTGCTTTAAATTGATATGTACAGGTGTTCTATTTCCTTCTGACTTATTTTTTGGGAGATTCTTTTTTTAATTTTTTTATTATTAGTGAAACACCATGAGGTACAGTTGTAGATTTACAAATTTTTGTGCTTGGATTTCGGTCATACCACGATCAAATACCCATCCCTCCACCAGTGCCCATTTTCCACCACCAGGATAATATCCCTCCCCCCCCATCCCCCCATCCCCCCCTGCCACTGTGGCAGGGCATTCCCTTTTGTTCTCTCTCTCCTTTTGGGTATTGTGATCAGCAAAAGAGGCATTGAGTGGCGAACATGTTCAGTCCAGTCTACTTTCAACCCGCATCTCCCCTCCTGGGAGGATCCTCCAAACACCCTCCACTTGGTGTTCCCCTTTCTATCTGAATTGTCCTTTCCCCTAGAATACCCGGCTGGCCTCTAAGCTATGGAGTAATTCTCCTGGTGTTGATCTCAGCTATTCTTGGAGATTAATCTTATATTTTGTTATTTTATATCCCCCAGATGAATGCAATCTTTCTATGTCTGTCCCTCTCTTTCTGACTCATTTCGCTTAGCATGATACTTTCCATATTGTACCACTTGTATGTAAAGATCATGACTTCATCTTTTCTAAGAGCTACATAGTACTCCATTGTGTAGATATACCAAAGTTTCTTTAACCAGTCATCTGTTCTTGGGCACTCAGGTCTCTTCCAGTTTCTGGCTACTGTAAAGAGTGCTGCAATGAACAAACAAGTGCAGATGTCACTTCGGCTACACATTTTTGCCTCTCTGGGATAAATACCCAGGAGTGGTATCACTGGGTCAAATGGGAGCTCAATTTCTAATTTTTTGAGGAACGTCCATACTGTTTTCCAAAAGGGCTGAACCAGTCGGCATTCCCACCAACAGTGAAGGAGTGTCCCTTTCTCACCACATCTGCGCCAGCATCGGTTGCTTTTGTTCTTTTGAATGTGGGCCAGTCTCTGAGGTGTGAGATGGTATCTCATTGTGGTTTTGATCTGCATCTCCCTGGTGATTAATGATGTAGAGCATTTTCTCGTGTGCTTTTTTGCCATTCGGATTTCTTCTTTGAGAAAGTTTCTGTTCATTTCATTGCCCCATTTTTTGATGGGGTTGGATGTTTTCTTCTTGTGGAGTTCAACCAGTATTTTGTATATCCTTGATATCAACCCCTTTCTTCTCTCTGAAGAATGTTCTGTTATTTAGTGATCAGCACATTAAAGAAGTACTTTCTGCCCTGGTCCAAGACTCTAGCTATGCCCTCTCTATGCCCTTCTTCCCAGCTGAGCCACTTTAGTCACTTGCCCCTGCACATAGTACCATAGTCCCTCTGCTCTGCAGTGATTCACACTGGTTCCTACCCTACAGCAGACACAGTGTCATAACCACACAGATAGGTTTGTTGAGATTACTTTGACTATCATTATTATATTTTCAACTTTGGGCTTGTATTGTTGGTGTTTATGTTCTTGCTTTCTTGCTCAGGACCTTATTGCTTATAGCATTGATTATCTGCCGGGATTCTCTTGTCCTGTGCTTTGCTTTCATGACTCCACTGGATCTGTTTCTTCAACCTCTAGAACTATGTTTCTGAGAGACCACCCATTGTTTTGCTGTCCTTTAAATAATTTTCCTATGTCAGCCTCCATAGAAAGACTCTGCCATCAAATTTCAAGATTACTAAATCTCTGTTCCTGTAAGGTAGTGAATGTGTTTGTTTCTCTGAGATTTTCCTTCAGAGGGATGAGCCCAGTGATCAGTTTGTTTCTGCACACTGTGCAGACATCCTTATGTCATTTCTGGATTCTGAATCCATTTGATCGTAGATTTTTCACTTTTGGTTTAGATGTTTCTGTGTTTTGAGTAGAAAGGGAATTCCACAATTCAAATCCCTGATTGTTTTTCAGGGGAAACAGTTTTGGGGTTATATTATGTTCTGGGGGTTTACATTAAGTTACTATTTGATCCCACTGCACTGTTGTTACACTCATTTTTCATTTTTAAAGACAAAGAAACACTACAGGACTAAGGAGTATAAAAACTGAAATCAGTGAAAATGTGTTCTGTGTTTTTAAATGATCATTTGTCTTTACCATTTTTTTCCTTTTGCAGTTTAACAGCAATGCCCAGGATGTAAGCTGTTTTCAGCATCTTGTCCAAGCAAATGTAAGAAATAAGAAAGTGCTGAAAGATGCAGTGAATAATATCACAGCAAAGGGAATCACAGACTATAAGAAGGGTTTTAGTTTTGCTTTTGAACAGCTGCTCAATGTAAGTATATCTTTTATTATTGTGATTGCTACTATCTGTAAGTGTACCCCAGATAGTACATTTATTCAAAAAGCTTATTTCTCCAGGCAACATAAATCAAACGTTTTTAAATCCAAAATTTTAAAGATATATGAACATTCTTTTCTCATTTTCAAGGGTTTGTTTAAAAGCTTGTTTGTGAGGTAATTTACACTGAAATAAGTGGATTTATTATATCATTTGATTTATCTCTAGATACTGTTTTCTTCTCACAATTGCTATATGTTTTTCTGAACATATGTGCTTCAAACCATGAAATCACGGTCATGGACCACGGTGCTCCCATTATTTATCAGTTTGCTTGAGTGGGCCCAGTAACGTCTCCATCGTGAGACTTGTTGTTACTGTGTTTGACATATCCAGTATGTCACAGGTAGCTTGCCAGGCTTTGCCATGTGGGCGAGATGCTCTCGGTAGCTTGCCGGGCTCTCCAAGAGGGGCAGAGGAATCGAACTCAGGTAGGCCATGTTGGCTGCTTGCAAGGCAAACGCCCTACCCGCTGTGCTATCGCTCCAGCCCCAAACCATGAAATAGTTGTTAGAAATGCTTTCATTTTGGTCATGTAGTTTCAGTCTTTAAATAGTTGCTAAATGTATAGAAGTGCCTATTGATAAAACAACAATGAATAGAAAGTTAAATACCCTTGCTAGAAGTTCTTTCTCAGTGAAGATTCCCCTGAACCAATCTACCAGCTATATCTGCAGTTAGACTGGAAAATTTTGGCATGCCTACTGCCTGTTCCATTTATAGCATATATATCATATGTGGACTAGCATTTTCAAATGGTAGTGTCTTTCAATTTGGATTATTGAAAGTAGACATAAGTTGTATATACCCCACAAAGTAATGTCGTCACAATGGTTGAATTTGTCTACCTAATCTCTCTGTAACCTACTACCTTCATTGATACAGTGGAATTGAGTGTCACAATAGAATATGCATCAGAAGCCTGTGGACAGAATTATTCATGAGATGTGACATGTAGCATACAGCATGTCAATATAACAGGCTGACTTGTTGTTGAAGCCATGTTGTTATTATGAAAACTAGTTTTATAGTGATGGGCTCATATTCATTATAGAGTCAGTTCATAATCTCCATCATGTGCCCTGAGCTACCGAACAAATCTTTGTATGTATATTTTCTTCAAATATGACTTTGTTATTTTCTAAGGGAATCTTTTAAAACACATCTTGAGATGTCTTATTGGTAAATTTATCAGTTAATCCAATATTTTTCAGTGACTCACAATTTCCTGCCCCAGTGGTGGTACTGGAGTAACAAGTAAACAAGACAATCTGCTTTCAAGAGGGTCCAGCATTACCCTGCGTCATCATTGCTAGGACAGTTTATTAGTGCCCTGCTGGGGCATTCAGTCTGCTGGAGCAGCAGAGGGTAAAAGCTCTGCTTACCCAAAGGAGGTCAAGAAAGTTGAAACCAGGAATTTGAAGAATGAATAGAATCTACAGAGTTTGACGACTCAGCGTGGGGGGTGGAGAATGATTTGGGATAAAAAGAACAAAATGGATGAAGGCAGAAATGTATAACACTCTCAAAGCATTTCAGGGAATAGCTGTGAAGTAACAGTACAGGTGTAGGAGTGGGAATGGAAGGTTCTGAGGAATCAGTTATATAATGTTTAGAAGACTATGAGATAACTAGAGAATGGGAATGGCTTGGTTTTTTGCAGTGTATCTCAAAGTGTGTGGTACTGCCCCCCTGTGTGGTGATAGAAAATACAGAGTAGGTGATAGTAGCCTCTAGTATAACTGGGAGAGAGGGGACTTTCTCTGTGTTTGCTTACATGAGGTGGGTTTTTTCAGGGGTGTGAAGAGTAACTTTCTTTTTCTGGAAAGTGGGAAATGGAGCAAATAAAAGTTTGAGAAACTGGTAATGACGGGCCTAACTTAAGAAATTACTGTTGAAATCCTAGTGTTAGATATGATGCAAGAAGATAGTAAAGAGAGTGAGATGGTAACTGAGAAAGTTGGTGAGTAGGGGTGTTAACATGGGTGGGGGACTTGGTAACACTGAGTTCTCTGAAGTGGGGTACTAGGTAGATTGGCTGCCCAGGAAGAGGATAGAGGAGAGGAATCTCTGTTTAGTAACGTGGAGTTTGAAGTGCTGATCTTTAATAGTAATAATTGTTTGGCTAAGCCATAAGGAGATAGAAAAGCAAAAATTGACCAGGATATGCTTTTTTTAGTAAGTCCTAATTATATAGTAAGTCCCATTGTTAGTTGTTGATAAAATGCACACTATAGTTTTCACACAGTTGGAATGATTTTCAGTATATTCCCACTTATTCCTGAAACAAGTCTCACATGTTTTGCTTCCCACAACTCTTTCATAGACTGCATTTCTTCATTTTAGAATAATGTCCCCAGTGTCATGGCTTGTCTTAATGTTGAAGCATATTTTATCTCTTTCAACCATGTCTAGTCTTTTGACATAGTATCATTGCCTGGTTTTTGTTTGTCCTTGAAAAATACGCCTTTAGATAATTTAGGCATATGTCAAATAGAATTAGGCCTATAATTTACCCACAGTGAACCCTACGTTAAAATATGAGTTGGTCTTTATATAGTATTTCATAAATTATGATCAAATATACCAGATGAATTTTTAAATGATCTTGAGTACACAAATGGTAGATGCTGCACTGTATTTTGGCTCCACTGGGACAAAATGTATTATGCAACAGTATATTATAGTCAATTACCAATTCTACTCATTGCAACTTTATGGAAAGTTTTTTTCTTTTTTTAAATTTTTGTTTTGTTTGCTTCAGTGACTTTGTAAAAATTTTGCTGTGCTATACTTTGCTCTACCACAACACTTTTAGGAAAAATCGTGCTGAAAAAAAAGCTTATTTCTGTGCATATATCCTAGGAACTCTCCCTTATGAGAAAAAATAAATGCTCTCTTCATACAAGTACACAAATGATCTTCATACAAATGTGGTGTGGTGTATTAAAATGCATTGATATTTGCCCTTTTAATAATAGTAGCATCTCTACTTTAAACATTAAAATTTTGTTCCACTGTAAAAACTTTCTCATTTTTATGAACACCTTTTAATATGTTTTGTCCATTTTTTACATGCATATAAAATTATTGGAGGAATTATTTTTAGTTAAGGAATTTCAACACCTTTAACAAAAGTATCTTGATGATAGGATAACCTTTTGAGTACTCAGTTTTTATTTTCTGATGGTTTTCTTCTGAGACAAGGGCCATGCATGAATGTGAAAAATTATTATAGCCTATACCCACATTTTCGTAATGTTTAGTTTAAGGCTTTAATTGCCAGTATTCAAATGACATTTACAATGGTGTGATGTATAAAACAAGATTGTTTCGTCAGCAAAGTGAAATATTCTCTTTATTATCATATACTGCAAGGATGGAACTTATCTTCTCTGAAAAATAAGATAGAGAACATACCTTCATTAAGCTCAAACACCAGAGAAGAATTAGTGTTTTGTTTTTTCAATATTAGTCATTAAAGAATAGGGCTCAAGTATTTGGAATACTTAATGAATATATAAGTAAAACCATAATTACTTTTGACTTCTGAGTATTTGAAGTGTGCCTGACTAAAATGAGTATTTACTTTTATAAAATGCACACCAGAATTAGAAGCCTTACCATGAAAGAAAAAAAATTAAGTCAGTATGTTTTTATATTGAGTTCTTGATGAAGTGATAGCATTTCAGTCAAATGGATTAATAAATTATCTAATTAAAACTAAATTTAAATATTTTTATTTAATATGGAGATTAAAATGTTTGATGTACATATTAGACTCATCTCCCAATTGAACAGGATGGCCCATTATTATTGATATTTTCAAAGAAGCTGAGTATTCATGAATTAGTGTGACATTTTAGTCTCAACACTTTTACAGAAACATTTCACAACTTACAAAGGTGGAGTTTTTGTAGTTCAACTTTCCAAATTACATTAATGGCCTTTTGGTGCTAATCTATTGTTCTTCTATGTCAGAAGCTTTTGGAACCCTTGGATTTTATTTTTATTATATATGTACTAGTTTGGGGGTCACACCCAGCAGCACTCGGGGCTTACTCCTGACTGTGTTCAGGGATCACTCCTGATGTGCTTTGGGGGCCCATATAGGGTAACGGGATTCATCCCATGTTGGCCTCATACAAGGCAAGTGCCCTAACTCATACACTATCTCACTATTCCTGGAAACCTTAAATTTTAAGAAATGATTCACCACTAGAATTGAAATTTTTTATTAGAATATGTATAATCAATTGGGATAATAAAATGCTATGCTAAGAAAATAAACCTTTACAAATCTGAAAAAATATTGGGCATTAGAGTTTTGCCATGTTGGCAACATAAGGCATGATGAAGAGTAAGAAACTAACAAATGCTTATAAACAAATTGAAAATATGGTAGAAGATATGTTCATTCTTTACTATTTCTTTGTTTCTATTTAAGCTATAGAAGTATAAAATCAACATGATGACCATTAATTTAACACTTCTTTAATGGTCAGACACTGAAAGATTATCATGTATGAGACCGTCTTCTAGAGAAATTGCAACTTAGAATATAGTTGTCACAATCCCCAGAACCCCATATGGTAACCTGAGCATCACTAGAAGTGATCCTTAAGCACAAAGCCAAGAGCAAGCTCCAACTATAGATTGGTGTGGCACAAAAGAGAGGAGAAAAAAAGTATATATGTATATGTACATATATATGTATGTGTCAATGATTTCTTAATGATAAACTGATAATTTTTTGTTATCTGTGGTAGAGGTCCTCAGAGAGTTGGGGTTGGCTACTCTGAACCAGAAACCAGTTCTTAGATTTTATTATTTATTAAATACTTTGTTCATTGTTTGTGTTTATTACATTCTAATACTTTATTCATTGTTTGTGAGTTTTACATTCTGTTTTATATTTCCTATATTTTATTTTAAATTTTATACCCTTTTTTTAACAGTACAATGTTTCCAGAGCCAACTGCAATAAGATTATCATGTTGTTCACGGATGGAGGAGAGGAGAGAGCCCAGGAGATATTTGCCAAATATAATAAAGACAAAAAAGTGAGTGGAGTTTTATATTTTAATTTTAATATTAACAGTGATTTTTTGAGAGGTAATGGAGTAATGGTAACAAGAGAAATTCTAAATACTAGTGAGTTGTTATAATGTCATACAGATCACAGATCATCAACCAATGACTGAGTTAGAGAATCGTTAATATGGTATTTTACATTATTCGAATTTACTTTATAACTATTAGTAAAATATCTTGGATGGAGCGATAGCACAGCGGGTAGGGCGTCTGCCTTGCATGCAGCCAACATGGCCGACCCGAGTTCGATTCCTCCGCCCCTCTCGGAGAGCCCGGCAAGCTACCGAGAGTATTCGATATGCCAGACACAGTAACAACAAAGTCTCCAATGGAGACGTTACTGGGCCCGCTCGAGCAAATCGACGATCAACGGGAGGGCCTTTACTTTTTTACTTTTATGTATCATTTATTCCTAAAAACTTATTAATATTATTCATTAATAATTATTAAAATATTAATAATATTTATTAATAATTATTTTGGATAGTTTTTTGCTAAATCTTGTAGTACACAAGGACTTTTAGGGCTCAGGGTCACCCCTGGCAATTTTCAGGGGATCATATGATGCCAGGGACAGACTCTAGTCTCCTACATGCAAAATATGAACTCCAAACAATTGTTATTTGTCTAACTTTATGAATAAATTTGCTTAAAGAATTTTATATAAGAAAACATTACAAGAAGTCAAAAATAGCAATAATTTGTTTTTCTTAATATTTTAGTTAAATATTTTAATAATACTCAAATTTCCTATCTACTCATAAAAATCTCTCAACAGATATTATTTTGTAGATTTACAGATAAAACAATTTGCAATAGTAAATTCATTTGAAGAGTAGAAGTAAAAGTACAGTAAAAGATTGAAGACAAATCCTTTTAGGTATAACATGTTTAAAGTATTTTAAAAGTATTTCAGTACATCATTTAGAGTATGAAGGTTAGAATATATTTATGTTAATGATTGTTTTACTACAGAGAAAACGTTGTTGAGAGACCTCTTCTGACATTGTTCTAAAGTAGCTGAGCCTGCTTATGTCAATCAGTGAATAATGGTGTGGAGAATGCCAATTGTAGCTGTTTTTTCTAACATCCCTCTTGTCAACCTATTTTATGACAAAATTTATTTTATGACATATTTCCACATTTGTAAAGATAAAAATGATTTTCAATTTAATTTTCCAAATTATGTGGGATCACCAAAACAGCAATAAAAAAATATCAGCTGTTTCTTTTGTTTTAAGCATTTCAGCAAGATTATACACTATTCTCTAAGAACATGGAGAAAATGTCCAGAGAATACAACAATTCTGGAGTAAAATCTAATTCACTTTAATTTTTCCTTGAAATTTTCACCAGTCTGAGAAATGTGACATCCTTATCTTTAAATGTATCATATTCATTTGGGTAATTAAATGAAAATCATTTAGTGGTTGGAGTGATATTACAGGGGTTAAAGTGCTTGTCTTGCATGAGACTGGTGCTCATTTGTTCGCTGGTACCACATTCATTTCATTTTTATTTTTTAATTTCATTGATAATATTTTAGGGATGGACCTCTATGCTTTAAGGCCATCCAGTTTTAGGCCAAGAGAGATAGCACAGTGGGTAAGGTACTTGCCACACACTTGACCAAACTTGGCTGGATCCTTTCCACCTCTCATGAACCTCCGGAATACTGCCAGGAATGATCTGTGAGCACAGAGTTAGGAGTAAGCTCTGAGCACTGGTGGGCATGACTCCAAATTGGGGGGGGGGGGGGGAATGACAGTAGACAACCAATTTTCTAAAGAACCCACAATCTTTGTTAAGCAGTTTTGAAAATTGATTACTTGGGTGTTTGCCTTCTGTTGTGATTATTTAAATGCCACTTTTTGTTTGTTTTCTTTTAGAGCTATGCCTGGCAGTGCTCAGGCTTACTAACCTAACTCTGCACTCAGGGATCACTCCTGACAAGGAGTAGGGGTCATATGGGATGTCAGGAATTGAACCCGGGTTGACCACATGCAATTCAAGCTCCCTACCTGCTATACTATCTCTCTGGCAACTAGATAAATACTAGTTTTATCACTGTCACTGTCACTGTCCTCCCATTGTTCATCAGTTTGCTCGAGCGGGCCCAGTAACGTCTCCATTGGAGACTTTGTTGTTACTGTGTTTGGCATATTGAATACATCACGGGTGGCTTGCCAGGCTCTGCCGTGCGGGCGAGATATTCTCGGTAGCTTGCCAGGCTCTCCGAGAGGGGCGGAGGAATCGAACTCGGGTCGGCCATGTTGGCTGCGTGCAAGGCAAACGCCCTACCGCTGTGCTATCGCTCTAGTTCATATTCATATTACTAGTTTTATATATAATAATAATTGAAGTGTACCGGAACTAAGATGCTAAATTTTCTGTGATTCCATTTTCAATGATTGCAACAAAATTTTTCTTACCCATAGGAATGCCTAGATACAATGATGCATTTAAACATATTTGTACTTATGTGGACATCCCTTTATGTTATTCTCAAGAACAAAAGCCCATATATTAACTTTGGCAAGAGCCAGCTTAAATAAAATGGTGTGAGTAAAAATTGAAAGAAGGAAAGATGAAGTAAAAAAGATCTAAATATATTTTTCTGAAATATTAGCAAATTTACAAAAAAATATAAATATTGCAATTGAGTAAGATGTTCTGTATTTTTTATTGTGTTTAAATTTAAAAAGTTAAAAATTATAGCTATAAAACATCCAAATTTCTGCCATAAAATTGTAAGAGGTTTAGCCAAAAAAATTAAAAGCTATTTTCAGAATCCTGCATTTCAACCAAGCCTCTTGTATGGCGTCAATGTGGCTACCACTAATGTGGCATTCTTTACACCCATTCTTCTTACTCATGATTCCAGAAATCATTCATAACAACCCTGGAAGGTGTGATTAAGGGCATCTAGAGAGCCGATGAATGAGGCAGCAAATATCCAGCTCCATTTATTGAGACCAAAAGGTTTGAGAATTAGAATGAAATGTTTGAATTCTTTTGCAAAGTGTATTACTCCTGGGACTTAATCTACCTGATTAGAGATAGGTACAGCTTTAAAACAAAATCCATGTTAGTCTCCTCACACAGCTGTTCCAAATTAAAATGCATTCACTTTCTAATCTTTACCTGCAGCAATGCCATTCCTTAGGGCTCCCCCATGTGTACAAGACTTCCTTAAAAATGGTGCCAAAACTAAAATGAAATCTATCAGAGAGCCCAAAGAAATGAATAAGGGAAAGTAAAACCAGACACAGAGTTGAAAGATAATTTCCAGGCCTCACAAAATTAAAGATGCTTGATTTTCTGTAAAATAGCAAAGAGATTGGTCAGCAATATATGTTTAATGTTATCTAGGTGGCTATAAGTTAGATGTCTGAGTCTCAGCAGTAATCCAAAATGAAAAGACATTCAAAGTTCCTAAAATGAAAATAGACGCTGAATGAAAAGACCAAATTTAAAATAATAAAGACATGATAGATGTGGAATGATGCTCAAAGAGGAAAAAAGCTAAAACTTCAATAATCAAACAATAGTGGCATTGTTTTAATTCTTTAGAATCATTGGCAGATTATTTTCTATGTTTCTGACAGATCCAAAGTTTAGAGAGAAATAATATATACCCTCCCAAATATTTAAACCTGCTTACAAGTAGCTGAGTCTGTGTAGATGTTGTAGTAAGAGTGCAGCTTGTCAATTTTTCAGCTGATAATAGGGAAAATCAAGTAATGACTTGATAGTCATTACTTTCCATTATCTCTGTCTGGTTTCTCTATCAGGCAGTCCTTTCTAAATAAAATTCAGTGTTCAAACATAAGAAAATAAAGATATTTTAGACTCAAAATGTTTAAAAATAATAAGTGCACTATGTCTAAATATTTTATTCAAAAATTGGCACTTTCAGAAGTTTTTAAAATACTTTTAGTTTTAGAAACTACACCTTTATTCATAGAAATAAAATTGTCACTGAAACTGTCCTCCCGTTGTTCATCAATTTGCTCGAGCGGGCACCAGTAACGTCTTACAACAAATTGTCAGACTTGTTGTTACTGTTTTTGGCATATTGAATATGGCACGGGTAGTTTGCCAGGCTTTTCCATGCGTGTGGGATACTCTTGGTAGCTTGCCAGGCTCTCCGAGAGGTGCAGAAGAATCGAACACGGGTTGGCCACGTGGAAGGCAAATGCCCTACCCTTTGTGCTATCGCACCAGCCCAGAAATAAAACATACTCTGAAAAATAACTGAAAGTAGTAACAAATCACTGTAGTATTGGCCCTATTAACAGAGATATTATAAACGAAAGTTATGTTTTATAGCAATTTTATTTTAATAATAATAAAATTAATGTTAACACTATAAAGAATAAAATTTAAAAGTTGACAACATTCCCTAAATTAAGCAAAGATTTAACCAGATAGAGGCCATTAGGGTTTGAGTAATATTACCTCCATATATGTTACAGATTCCTTAATATATAAAATAACTCTAATACAAAATAGTTTTAAAAAATAGTTAAATATTTACATTTGGTGGAAAGTATAGAACAGATTATAAACCTTAGAGTGTAGAAATGCACTTGAAATATTTCAAATAGAATTATGCCACCTGGAATTGCCTATTATTTGTACAAAAGTAATGTAAAGAGCACCCTACTGCACTGTTTGCTAAGGCTGCCACCTTCTCAAATTAGACCTCTCCTTATAGTATATCCATGTGGAATATGGCATCTCTTTCATTTCCTCTTTTTAGAGGATTCCCCATATATCTCTTTTAAAACTTTGTAATTTAGTATTTTTTCCCCTCTGTTTTCTTTCTCTCAGGTTTCTACTTAATGGTTTTGTTTACTTTTTATCTTAGAATTCTATTTCATGAAGTAGGAATTGTGTTCATTTCTAAAGCATGAATAACTGATTGTGTTGGACAAATCAGTAAATATTCAATAAATCTCTCCTA